TGCAAAAATTCATACAAATTATAAAAGAATAATATATTTTTAACAATATGCATGAATAATCAATCTTCGTAACCATGCAACACTTCTCTCAGGAATTTTCAAATTTATTTCTTGAGCACTACAGTACGCAATGAAGCACCTCAATGGCAGTTAAACACTTTCTTGAATAGGTACAATACAATATAAAATTCCATTTGTTTAGTGCATTTCACATCGGGAGGACTTCTCAAGACGCTGGACAGTCAGGGATTTGGACCCAAGCGGGGGTGGGGAGGTGGGGTTGATGGATACCTATCAATTCAAGCTAAACCTTAAATCAAGGGCCCTTAAGACTTGTCTTTCGTTGAAATTACCGTTCAGCCTGCCACATACATGGGCTCTCACTGGGCCTGGAAAGAAGACTAGCACCATCTCTGCTCCCCATTGTAGACTGGAGTTTTCTCCATAGACGGGCTTAAGACCCCACAGTCTATGGGGAAAACCGCTAGACTTGACAGGTATGAAGAACATTTGGCAGACCAGCTGAAATCATCCCACCGGGCTGGATAAATTCCTTCCAAAAAAAAAAATTCGGTCAGTCAATCCACAATGTTTGCGGGACACTTCTGTGTGAAATTGGCTGCCACGTTTCACCCACAAAATATACAATCAATTCACTTCACTTTGAAGCTCTTTGAGACATCCCGAAGACGTGATAAGACCCTATATCAAATGCAAAGATTATTATTATTTACAGCCCCCAGGCCCCAGTTGATATGATTTGGGAAAATATGGGGAAACTGCATTTGTTACATCTTTCCATCTCACCTAAATACCTACTCCTTCAACCCTATTTTGCACCACTTCCCTTTCTCTTACTCCCTTGCTTGGCTTCCAACACTGTCTCTGTGAATTGCTCCAAGGTAATGGTAGCTGAGGCCACAGATATGCCTGAAAACAATCCTTTTCTCATGATTATTCTGCCTTTATTCAGATAGCAGAGATCATACACAAATTGGGATGGCGCTTCAAAAAATGCAACAAGCCCCTTGCTCTCCACTAGAGTGTCAGCCTAAACTGTGGACTCAAAATCCTAACGTGGGGTTTGAAGCCACATCCTTCTTATTCTGAGGCAAGAGTGCTACCAAATGAGCCAGGGTAACATCATTTTGGTTAGCCAAGCGGAAAGAATATTTAGAACAAAGTTCAATTAAAATCGGTGTAAAACAAAAATGGAATGAGAAATGTAAGAAACACATCCCGTCCACAATAAATCATTACGTTTATTGCTTGTTCAGTGTCACTGATCCCACATTAATCGGTATGTGTGAATCACATAAAGATTTAACTGTGTATGAATGGAGATTCTCCTGCCCCAGGCTCCACAAGCCTATCACACCCATCCTCACTTGACTACCTTGTTTCTCCATCCCCCAGCAAATGTTCTTAAGTGCTGTGCTGCTTCCTATTCAGGGCGCCTATACATGGCGAAAAGTGGGCAAGTTTCTTTAACCCACCCACACGCCTCTGTTTATCAGCAGTAAGTAGGAACCTGGTTGTTAGTCGATTGGCAGATCGCTTTTCCGCGGGTAATAATCCCTTAAAAAAAAATTTGGTCACTCAATCCATGACTGTTTGTGGGACCCTGCTGTGCGCAATTAAGCTGCAGAGTTTCGCCCACAAAATATACAGTCAATTCAGCTTATTGTATATGTGAAGCTCTTTGGGATGACTTGAAGGCATGATAAGGCATTGTATCAAATGTAAGGATCAAATGTAAGGATCATTCCCTACTCCGACTGCTGCTATTGGTATGAGGCACCTAATGGCAGCAAAAAATATTGTGCAATCATCAGATTTCCTGCAGTTTCATATTTAAAATTTTGTAAACTATAAAAGGAATATAACCTTTCACAACTGTTAGCCTTCATATACCATATGCCTCCTAACCACAACACTTTCTCAATATATCAGACATTCTGCTCTGATCATGCTTCACATGCCATTAGTGAGGTAAGATATGCGGCTGAAAGAAGTAGAAGGATACCTTCTCCCTTCAGAAATTTTCCAGCCAGGAAGACATTTAAATGCCTTTTTTTTGTCAATTTGGGAAAACATAGCTCATACAACAACAACAAATTGCATTTACATAATGCACGGAGGATGTCCCAAGGTGCTGGACAGTCAAGGGTTTGTATCTGACTTGTGGGCTGGAGTCAAAAGGGTGTTGGTGGGAAGGTGACCAAAGGCACGGTCGAAGAGGAAGGTCTTGATAAAACATACTCAGGTAACATTTAGCTCAATATCTTGAATGTGAACTTTGGAGGTGTCACTCTCAACTCTCACCTCTTTTCTCCAGGAATAGGCAATAACCACATGAGATTATGGTGCTGTATCCATTCCCTACGTCCACTATGGAAATCCACAAATCCACCGTGAATGTGAGTCTTTGACTGTAATCTAGCAGACAATCTTCCGCAGGAAACCTTCATTTGGTTTAAGTGACATCACTGGGGATCCCAGTCCTAGGCACAGCAGAGGATACAACACTAATTTGTTGTGGTGACAGTTAGTTAAATTGCCACATGAACAGCAAATGAGTAGATTTCAAGACCCTTATCTTCGATCGTGCCTTTGGTCGCCCTCCCACCTCTCTGCCTTCCCTCACCCCTACCCCACCCCTCCCCCATGCTCGGGTCCTGACCCCTGACTGTCCAGCACCTTCGGACGTCCTCCCGATGTGAATGGCGCTCTATAAATGTAATTTGTTGTTGTTGTTCTAAGGTGTCCCAGGACACTCATACATATCCATGGCAATAATATGTTACACATTTGGTCAAAATAACTTTGATTACGATTCCTGTAGGTCTTTCAAACTAGCAAGGTTGGATGAGATCCATAAGCCTTCAACAATGTTGATTTCATTACCAGAAATTTCCATATTTTAAACACACAAGTAAAAGCCATCAAAGCATATTGCTCTGTCATTTCTAAGGAATTATGCAAATATTTGCATAATCAGGACTCCAATTGGCTCTTGGGAAATTCCAGCCCCAATTCTTGACATAACTAATCTTCAAGTGGTAGGACCAGAATACGTCAGCCTAAAGATTGAGTCATGATGAATGGGCCACCAAAATTAGTTATTATACTATCAGAGCAATATGCCAGAAAAAAACAGATGCTAGGTTTGTTCAAAGGCACAACAACAATTTCAATGTCCAGCTTTGATGTTAATTAACTGCAAAAATAACTCTTGCCAGCTGGTTTTCACTTCCACAATTGGACTTGGCCCCTAAGAAACTGCCCTAAATGAACTGTGATCATTGTCATACATTGCAGGCTAACTTATTTGTGAAAACACACAACACCAGCTTCAGGACAGACACTATCAGTCTACTGAAACCTAACTATGTACAATTTGCACCATATCGCCCCATCCCAAAAGTTATTAATAATAATCCTCGCATCGTAACTGATACAGCGCCTCATCACGTCATCGAGATGTCTCAAAGCGTTTCACAGAATATCCTGTAAAGTGGATTGATTGTGTATTTTGTGAATGAATCGCAGAAGCCAATTGCGCACAGCAGCGTCCCACAAACAGCCATGGAGAGAGTGACACATTTTTATATAAGGGAATGTTGGCCAGGACACTGGGAGAAACTCCCTTCTCTTTTCATCACAATAATCAGGAGCAAATAGGCTTGGACCGATCGGCGTAATGCCAAGCAAATCAATTGATCCACTGTGGTGGATCCAACCATGATATGGTGAACCACAGAGAGCTGTGTGGCTGTAAAAGTGAGATTAAATATTATGCTCAAGCTTTCATAATTAACTATTTTTAGTTTTCTCGCCCACGCTTAAGTTCATAATGTGTAATGAAAAAACAATTAAAGAAAAAAATTATCATTTCATTTAATATAGTGCCTTTCAGGTCAGGAGGATGTCCCAAACAAAATTTGTTGCACAGGGTAGAGTCTGTGATTTTTTTATAACATTTTTGGAGGGATTAGTGCCCCCGGAAAGTAATCCGTAAAAGTTAACGAATCGATTAACAACCAGTTCCTACTTACTGCATATTTACTGCTAGGTAAACTGAGGTGTGTGAAATAAGGAAACCAGTTCCCTCGCTTGAGAGACGAGTGCTCGAGAAAGAAGAGGAGGAAGAAGAGAAAAACAGTCTCAACCGTGGCCACCTGGACCCAAATGTCTTCATTGTGTCCTTGGCCTGGAGAGGTGGCAAGGGTAAATGATGATATTCCCATAACATCATAACACAACATCATAACATAACATCATAACACTGCACTTGTGCTATTTCACTGTCTTCCTACTGCTCTTTGGGAAGAGGGGTTGGTAGCTTCATAGGTAAGGAGTTAGGAGGATCTGCTACTCATCCGACATATGGCTTTTCTGTGACAGATACTGGCGAGGAGCGCATGATCGTTTGCAGCTTTATAAGGCTGGGTGGATGTCATGAATGGAAAGATATTATGTGACAGATCATCAATGTAGGATTGGATGATTTAGGTGAGCTCTGTCAATAGGACGCATGGCCAATGGTGGATTAACAAGGGCGCCAATGGTGCTGAGGCACCAGGTCCTCACCTTGGAGGACGTGATTCTGGCTATATGGAAAATCAGGAAATTTCCTAAGGCCTCCGAGATTGTCTGCCGATCCCCCCTGTGATTGACTGTTACGCCCCCCACACATACACACAAAAATTGACCCCCTATTTTACGATTTCAGAGAGCCAATTCGCCACTGGGCACCATTGCTTATAAATATAAGCACAAAATGTCAATCTGGCCCTGGACACAGAACACTTGTTATGTCACCATTGTTTTCTCCTGTTCCGTTCTGAGGTAATACTTCAACCACAGGCATTGCATTCGTTTCTCAGATTTATTGGGAAACCTCTGGCTCCAACAGCACAAAGCAATCTTTGTTTCGTAATCTTCATGCTTATCAGAGTTGGTCATAAAAGGGTGACCTGCAGGCAATCGCAGCAGCAAAGAGCTGGAAGTCAAGCCAAGAACAAGAATGAGGTGCAGAATTCTTGTGGTCCTCATGCTGCTTGGATTTTGTGCACCTTTCTGTAAAGCCAGGAGAACATCTCTTTGTATGTAATATTTTAATATCTCGGCAATTTTCTCATTCTCTGCCTTGTGTGGAATACATTCCTGTACTTTACCACTTTCTGTTCTTTGCATGTGAAAGGTTTACCTGTATTTGTCATTCCCTCTCTTCATTATTTGATAAACTAAATTTGATTACTTCATACAAATAAATTGTTTATTTTCTATACAGTCAAACCTGTCTCAAACAACCTGGGCCAAAGTGGGCCACCAAGTAAGGGTTTGTTGGTGTGTGAACCAGGCTGTCCAGGGTGTTCCAGGGTGACTGTTAACAGGGGGTGGTTGCTGAATGGAAGTAGTTACTTGACTATATTTAAAAATTAAAGTGCGAGAAATGTTAATACAGACAGTGTTAAACTTTTATGTTTGAGCGAGTGAGTGACTTCTAATTAATGGCAGTATTCTTTCATGTATTAATACCTTTACATTTGATATTATTTATCGGGATTGTCAATTAATATTCTTCTCAAAGTAAACCATCTGCTAATTTTGTAAAGTAAATATTTAAAATCTGTCCACTGGGTCAATGACTGTAAAAGTTTGAATGAGTAAAAACTCAGCAAACTTTGCATATAAATATGGATATTTGAACTTTATACCCTAGAAATTCCCTTTACAGTTCGAATAGTACCTTAAAATCTTGAATGTCCATCTGAACAGGCAGGTAGGTCTCATCCAAAGGTTAGTACCTCCAACAATGCAGTGCATCTTCAGCACCACATTGGAGTACTAGCACCAATGACTATATGAGTTCCAACTCCCATTACAATTTACAATCTATACCAATAAAACGTCAATCTGTCTGTCTGTGTGCGCTTCAAGAAGGATCTCATAAATGATTGACGTATAGACATGACTTATACCTCATCGGAAAGGTCTTGTAATGGGAGCGACATGGGCATATTTGTTTTCAAGTATCTCCTATTGTTCATGAGTTATAACCTAAATTGTATTTCAGTTTTGCATTTTTTTGCTGCAGTCACACCTGGTGGCCATGCCAGTTGCCCTAGGCAGTGTGGCATCGTGCATCACAGAGTAGCCAAGTAGCGATGGGAACAAAATAAAGAACACAGATAAAGCTAGGCCACAGCAACAACAACAAAATTACATTTTTAAAACACCTTTCATGTTGGGAGGAAGTCTCATTATAAATTATACAGTTATATTTATCATTATAAAGATGCTTAAGCAAAAATTAAACCTTTCAAGGATAAGCAAGTATGTCTGTCTGTGTGTCTGTCTGTGTGTCAATCTACATTCCATGTTGCATCCTTTGGTTGCAAGCAAAGCTGCAACAGGTACAGCTAATATAGTATATTTCATATTGGGAGGATATCCCAAAGTGCTTACAAAGCTGGCTGGACACCTGAGCTAGGGGTGGAACTGTAGGGGGATGGAGAGCAGAAAGATGACCAAAAGCACGGTCAAGGAGGTAAATCTTGAGACCAGCCTTGAAAGAGTGGGGAGGGAGCTCCAGAGAACGGGGGCAGATGGCTGAAAGCCTACGCGCTTATGGTGCGGTAGATAGGGAAGGAGTCATGGAGCAAGTCATTGTTCGCTGAGCAAAAGGAGTGGCAGTTTGAAAGAAGTCATGGAAGTCAGTGGGACAAGACAACAGAGGGATTTGAAGATCACAATGAAAATCTTGAACTCAGTCCACTGGGGGATAGGGAGATAATTCCCTTTTAGAATAGCGAGACAGTGAAACAGGTGAGCCAACTAGTGGAAGTAGCTTCTTCCTGGTTAATTATCAAAACTGTTAAAACCCTGTTAATAGGAACCTAGAAATCTACAGCGCAGAAGGGCCATTCAGCCCATTGAGTCTGCATCAGCTCTAAGAGTAAAATCATCTCAATCCCACCACTCTACATTATCCCTGTACCACTTCAAGCTAATCTCATTCATACGCCTGTATACTAGGAACTCCCCCTAAGAGCGTTAGCCCCAGCGCCTTGGGACCTTCTCCTGACATGAAAGGCTCTATACAAATGTAATTTTGTATTGTATTAACATCTTTCCTGAAATGACTTGCTCAAACCTGGTTGCAGTACATAGTTGTGACCGAACCAATGATTTATACAAACGTAGTATTGTTGCTTTACTTTTGTACTCTATGCCCCTGTGTATTCTACCAGCAGGCTGTCTTTACACTCATTGTCATTTGCATAGTCACTTTCAATGACCTATGCATTTGCACTCCCAAATTCCTTTACTCCTCACTTCTTGGAAGATACTGTACTGCCTTTCAATATATTACTCCCTCCTCTCATTTTTTTCTACCAAAATTCAATCCTAGTATTGTAGCATATCGGTTATAACGCTCGCCTCATAAGCCAGAGGACCTGGGTTTGATTCCCAGGCAGGGCAAAACGTTAGGCAAGTTTCCTTACTCCATGCGCCTCTGTTTATCTAGCAGTAAATGGGAACCCGGTTGTTATTTGATTGGTGGATGCATTTTCCAGGGGTAATAATCACTTCAAAAAAAAATCAAAAATAATAATTTGGTCACTCAATCTACGACTGTTAGTGTGGGGCACTGCGGTGCATAATTGGCTGCCTCATTTTACCCACAAAATATACAGTCAATGCACTTACAGTATATTCAGTGAAGCGCTTTGAGACATCTTGAAGACATGATAAGGCGATGTGTCAAATGCAGGATTATTATTATTACTAATCCTCATATCAAACCTAATGATGTTATGGTCGCATTTTGCTAAATGTTCTGCTACTCTTAGCATTAGTACTTACTGGTCCCATTTTACTTCCCGATAGTCCACAACAACTGCTGAACTCAGTCTGCTCTACTCGTGAACAAAATAAATTATTTTGAGATTGTGCTACTTGCCTCTAAAATTGGAATAATCCCTTTATCCACTGTAATTTGTAGCTTCATATTCCGAAGGAAAAATGAAAACGTACCTACGTTGCCGATGTATCAAAACTCAGTCAACATTCATCCATCCAAAGCACATCACAAATGTTGACTTAATTACCAATGGCCCACACTGCAGTGTTGATGAAATCATGTAAGTGCTGTTCATGAAGTCTCACATTTATGGTTTATTATTAGAAGCAGTTTATTATTAGAAACAGTTACAATGATACAGTTTACACAAAAATTCTATCAGGTGGGATCATTGTACCCTTCAGGTTAAACATTAACCCGAGGTCCCATCTGCCTGTTCAAGTGGATGTTAAAGATCTCATGGCACTATTCATAAAGAGAAGGAAGCTTCTCTCAGTGCCTTGACCAATTATCTCCTAGACAAAATTGGTCATTCATTCCATGGCTTTTTGTGGGATATTGATGTGTGCAATTGGCTGCCACGTTTTCCTACAGAATAAGCAGTCACTACACTCTGTAGCACATCCTGTGATGCATTTTAAGCTGTTTCAATGTATTGATTTGTTGAATTATTACCACGGGCCAATATAGTGTAGCAAATTTCTGTGCACAACATTGAATGTTGACTTCAGCCGCCAGCAAGTGGATAGCTACTAAATCAATCGGTATGGGAAACTTGGCATAGGAAATAAAATTATTATTATTATTATTAAGTTGGAAAGTGAAGCATTTTCCTTGTTTTTCAGCATTACACTCATCAAAGGAAACAAAATCTGTTTGGATCCAAATGAAAAATGGGTGCAGATGGTTATCAATATAATACAAAGGTATTGCTTCACTTCTTCAATATAACAAAAAGATCTTTTGCAAAATTAAAATCCATCAACTACAATTATAAAAAGTGTGAAAATGTAACATTTGACGTGATATTTACCATCAAGTTGAGTTAGGCCTGTGTTTGCCATTGAATTGTCAACATCCGGGACAGACTTATAGGCCACCCCAACTGGCTCAATAGTCATTGGGGCAGTTTCAGGTCCAACCATATTGATAAAGTTGAAGAGTCAGTTATCAGCTAAGACATTGACAAGAATAAGAATTTCCAACAATGTAATAATATCATTATTATGATAATATCATTACTATCACATCGAATGTCTCATTTTGTCACCCCTTCGAGGTTGCAATTCTGGTAGCAAAATATTGCAAAAGTGCAGGCTTTTTTGAAAAGAAATTCTGTGCACAATTTTGAAGGCAGGATTCAGCGTCCAAGAAGTTGAAGGCTCCTAAGCGGTGGCGGTTTGGGTCCTCGAAAAGGCATGGGAGTTTCAGGTAAAAGGTGGACACTGATTCGCGAGGGCACCGATTTGGCATAAAACCTCTTTGCGTATTTAAAAATTATGTCGGGCATGAAGGACTTTGAAGATGAATATGAGGATTTTGAAATCATTCCATTCAGTGATAAGGAACCAGTGGAGCCTGGATTGCACTGATGTGCTGGGGTACAGAGTTTAGTGCTAGTGAATATATGGGCTGCAGAGTTTTGGATTAACTGGATTTTGTAGATATCCAGTGAGAACGCAGGATGTCAATGGAATCCTGGAGAACAGAATCCTCAAGCACGCCCAGGATTTAATACATTATTATGTTCACGGCTAGTCCTCTAAGGGGACACTTTGATATTTGCTCAGCATTCAGTATCACACATTCCCCCATCCCCTGCCAACATCTGTGTGCAGTTCCCATCAAAGTGAAGGCTGTCAGGCCAGAGAGATTTTATTACACAAAGGATACAGAAAGCAGGAAAGGGGTTTGGAGATTATATGAAGTCCTGTAGCATAATGGTTAGAGCACTCACCTCGCAAGCGAGAGGACCTGGTTTGATTCCTGGGCAGGACAAAACATTACACAAGTTTCCTTACTCAACACGCCTCACCCAATCCACGACTGTTTGTGGGATCCTGCTGAGCACAATTGGCTATCACGTTGCACCCACAAAATACACATGCAATTCACTTTATTCTGAGAGATATCTCATAAACGTGATAAAGCGCTATATGTGGAGTCCTGTAGCTCAGTGGTTAGAGCGCTTGCCTCGCAAGCAAGAGACCTGGGTTCGATTCCCAGCAGGACAAAATCTTGGGCAAGTTTCCTTACTCCACACGCCTGATAATAATCCCTCAAGAAAAAAAAGCAATAATAATTTGGTCACTCAAACCACGATTGTTTGTAGGACACTGCTGTGCGCAATTGGCTGCCACATTTCGCCCACAAATATACTGTCACTTTACAGTATATTCCATGAAGGGCTTTGAGATGTCTAGAAGATGTGAAAAGCGCTATATCAAATTCAAGGATTATTATTATTATATCAAATGCAAGGATTGTTATTATTATATTAATGTATTTTCATCCTAAATACCAGTCTAATTTTGTTTGTAAAATTGTTCAGAGCTTGAAAAAATATTCACTGCATTACTGCAAACAGAACTTTAACAGCATTTTTAGGCCTAAGTGGGAGTGTGCCTATAAACCTATCTTAATATGTTTTATTTTTTTTCTAAAAATCAGATCACAAAGTTCTCCTGGTGGGCGGCGTCCAGCACGTCCATCAGTCGAAAGAAGTATGACGGAAATGGTCAAGGAATACATGGAGATCTTACTGATGGATGAAGATCTAATAAAGCCTCATTATTTGCGTCATCCTAGAAAATATGGTGGCAGACTATTCAATGAGTAACGCCACTGAATGCTATTCCCACTCACGTTGACAATGTGATGTGCAACCATTGTAGGTTCCAAACGATGGCAGAATCGCCATCTTGATATTAAAATCTTTATCAATAGTTAAAAAACTGCATGTAGTATATTTTATTTCCAGGTAACAGAAATCTTCCCTCATCTTCACGCATACAACAAATTACATTTATGTAGCGCCGTTCACATCGGAAGGACGTCCTAAGGTGCTGGATAGTCAAGGGTTTGCACCCGAGCTGGGGTTAGAATCAAGAGAATTGGAGGGTAGGGAGAGTGGGGGTAGGAGTGTGGCCGGTCTTGAGCTGGACCTTGATGAAGGCAAGGAATGGGACAAGGCAGAGGGATTCTGGGATTCTGGCATGCTTTCACCTCATCCAGGCTAGACCACGCCAACCTCTCTGCTTGCTGGGCTTCCCGACTCTTCCCTCCACAAGCTGCAAACCATCCAGCGGTTTGTGTCCTCTCCCGCACCAGGCTCCGTGACCCAATCACCCCCATCTTTGCCCAGCTCCACTGGCTCTCAATCCCCCAGAGGATTGAGTTCAAAATTCTCATCCTCACTTTTAAATCCCTCCACAGTCTAGCCACACTCTATCCCTGGGACCTTCTAAAATCCTATCAATCTGCCTGCTACCTCTGCTCGGCAAGCACTGGCTTGCTTCACATCCCCAGCCCGGCCTGCCCCATCATCAGCGGTAGGGGCTTCAGCCTTTATACCCCCACCGACTGAAAATCCATTTCGCCTCACCCTTCCCTTACCTCCTTCAAGGTTCATCTCAAGACCCTCCCCTTTGTCCACGCTTTTGGTCATCTTCATCATCTTCATTATTTGGACCCCACCAAATCCAATCCCCAGCCTGAATGCAAAGCCTTGACTCTCCATCAACTTGGGACATCCTCCTGAAGCGAATGGCGTGATAAAAATACAGTTTGTTGCTGATTTGTCCCTTTTGAATTCTTAACCCTACATTTCTTTCACCACAATTATTTTGCTCCAACACAGTTTTAGAATAATAGTGTTCTCGGTCTGTTTGATTGCTTTTGTTCCACTATTTCATAAATCCCACAAGTCAGTAAGGTTATAAAGGGGAAAACATGTTGTGATCTTCTTTATCATCCAAACATGTACTGCTACTATGTTATTTATAATAATAATATAATAATAATCCTGGCATTTGATATAGCATCTTATCATATCATTGAGGCATCTCAAAGTGCTTCACAAAATATACTGTAAAGTGAAGTGATTGTACAGTTTGTGAGCGAAACATGGCAAACAATTATGCACAACAGTATCTCACAAACAGTCGTAGATTGAGTGACCAATTTATTACTTTTTTTAAAAATTATTTTAAGGGATTATTATGTCCGGAAAAGCGATTACAAATCGACTAACAACTGGGTTCCTACTTATTTAGATGAACAGAGGCATATGGAGCAAGGAAACTTGCCCAACGTTTCACCCTGTTAGTATGTGGTAACTCTCACTGACTTAAGCAACTAACGGCTGCAAAGTATATTGTGCAATCATTTGTGCACAGCCTGCAACATCAAGTGCTTTGAGACATCCACCCGACCTGAAAGGTGTTACACAGTATAAATATAAATTATATTGTATTTGTTTGCGAACAGACTTTGTCTCGCTGATAATGTGCATTCCAGGCCTGAAAGGTAAATACTCTGCCTCTCTGACTAGAACTAGAGGCACAAAGGTTTTTGTGGGCATCAGACGCGTGGGTGATCAAAAACAATTAGTATGCTATTGCATCACAACAACAACAAATTACATTTATATAGCGCTTTCACGTTGGGAGGTCATCCTAAAGTCCTGGACACTCAAGGGTTTGCACCCAAGCTTGAGGAATCAAGAGGGATGGAGGGCGATGGGGATGGGATCAAAGTCATAATAATAATAATAATCCTTGCATTTAATATAGCGCTTTTCACATCTTCTCGACGTCTCAAAGCGCTTCACAGAATATACTGTAAAGTGAATTGACTGTGTATTTGTGGGCGAAATGTGGCAGCCAATTGTGCACAGCAGCGTCCCACAAACAGTCATGGTCAAAGATGAAAGTCTTGAGACAACTAGTATGGGCTGTCTAAAGCTAAGGGGTGAGGCGGAGGGGCTCCTGGATATTCCAGATGGTGGGCAGAAAGGGTGGAGCAGGCAGGTTACGGCACATGGGGCAGGTTATTGCTCGCCAATAAGGGAGCAGATAGGTTGTTAAGAATTTAGTAGGTCACAGAGGTAGGGAAGAGCAAGACCATGGAGGGTTTTAAAGGTGAGGATGAGGGTCTTAAACTTGATCCTTTAGGGGACGGGAGGCAAACTTTAACCAAATATCACCAACTTTACTGTTAAGCATCCAGCTGCCTCTGCTCTACTGGCTCAACTCTCCTAACTGTCCCTCGAAACCTCCGATCCACCATCGGCGGCCATGCCTTCAGCCGCTACGCCCAAAAGCTATGGAACAACCTCCTTCAATCCCTTAGACTTGCCCCCTCTTTCCCCGGTCTTTGACCAGGCCTATGGTCACCTTCCCCCACCCCTTTGCTCGGCATCGGGCTCCACCATTGTTAAGCGCTCTGGGACCCCGCCCAGTATGGAGAGCATTATATAAATGCAAGTTGTTGTTGTAAGCCAAGATTATTCAGTTATTTTGTAATAAACATTTCAGAAACATTTTAACATGAGCATGAAATGTCCAACCAAAAACAGTCTGGTACCATTCAAAAAGGGAAGAGAGTTTCTCCCAGTGGCTGAAGGCACAGCCGCCGAGGGTGGAGCGGGGGACGAGGAGGAGGCCAGACCCAGAGGAACAAAGGCAACGGGTACTGTTTAGAGGGAAAGGAGGTCAGAGAGGTCGGGAGGTGCAGAGGAGTGGAGGGATTTGAGTACAAGGGTGAAGATCTTGTAGTCGAACCTCTCTGGGATAGGCAGCCAGTGCAGACTGACAAGGACTGGGGTGATCGGGGAGCAGAGTTTGGTGCGGGTAAGAATGCAGGCGGCAGAGTTTTGTATGACCTGGATTTTATGAATGGTAGTGGAGGGGAGACAGGCAAGGAGGGCATTTGAATAGTCCAGCCGAGAGGTGACAAAGGCATGGACCAGGGTTTCAGGGCTTTTGGAATGTTTCAGCGGCTTTTGGAGTGAGGTATTGGCGGAGACTGGCAATGTGTCAGAGGTGGAAGAAAGCAGTGTTGGTGAGGGACTGGATGTTGGGGGAGGAAGGATAATTGGGGGTTGAACTTGACGCCTAGGTTGCGTATGGGTTCGGAGAGTTTTAGAGGGAGGTCAGGTAGGTGGAGGAAGTGAGAACCCTGTGCTTTTAGACGTTGACAAGAGTCAAAGAGTATGGCTTCCGTCTTGTCAACGTTCAGCTGAAGGAAATTTGCGCTCATCCAGCCTCTGAGGTCTGACAGGCAGCTGACGGAACATCAGGGGATTGGGGTCACAAAGAGAGGTGGAAAATTAGAGTTGGGTGTCGTCCGTGTACATGTGGAAATGGACCCCATGTCTGCGGATGACATCCCCAAGGGAGCATGTAGATCAGAAAGAGAAGGGGGCCAAGGATGGATCCTTGGGATACCCCGCAGGTAACCAGGTGAAAGCGGGAGGAGAAGCCATTTGTGCAGATGTACTGCTAGCAGTTTGTGAGGTAAGACTCCATGGCTTTTTGTGGGACGTTGCTATGTGCAAATTGGCTGCTGGGTTCTCCTACAAAATTCACAGTCACTACACTTTAAAGTATATCTCATGAAGTCCTTTTTAGACGTCCTCCCAATGTCAAAAAGCAAAATCAAATGCAAAGATTATTCATTTTTATTTCCATGACAGAAAGAGACAGACGTCCATTTCTAAGCTTTAAACTCACAAGTAAATGCATTAAAATGGCTTATTCTGTCACTCCCTAGAAAACCTTTGTATGATCAGGACAAGTACATATTGGGAAATTCTATATTACAATTCTTGATGTAACTGGTGTTTAATCCATCAACTGATAAACCCTCTGACCTGCCCGTACTCGACTCTTCTGTCTGTCCCCTTTTCTCAGCCGGTACAAGCCGACTGCATGTCCGCGCCACCATCAGCGACCATGCCATCAGCCACTACCAACCTCTGGAACTCCCTGCCTTAATCCACTTCAACCTCTCTGGATTGTCCTTTGGCCTCTCTGCCCCCACCCTCTGGAACTCCATCCCACAGTCCCTCCGCCTCGCCCCCTCCCTTGCCCTCATCAAGACCCATCTCAAGACCGTCCTTCGACCGTGCCTTCAGTCTCCCTCCTAACCCTCCACTCCTCCTGATCCCAACCACCAGCTCGAGTGCGGATGCCTGACTGCCCAGCGCTTTGGGAAGTCTTCCAGACTTGAAAGATGCTATAGAAATGTAATTTGTTGCTGTTTAAATCCCAGTTTAAGATTTATCTGTTCAACCATGCTTATGGTCACTTCTCCTCCTTGGCTTGGCATCCACCTACATCACTTTGCAGTTATCTGAGATTCTGGGTAAAGGACGCTATATAAATCCATGTTGTTGTTGCTGGGTCTCGCTAACCAGATAACCTGTCCCAGCAATGCATGGGTTATCTTAGTTAAATAAGAACACACAATTGGGCAGTTCCTACTTTAGCACATAGGTTGCCAGTGTACCAAAACATGACAAATTATCCTTCACTATTCCTCTCAATCTCCAAAAAAGTCTTTGCAATGTTCAGGAGTGAAAGGGCTAGGACTGGTCATCTTAAACCAAGAAAAATGTGGTTGACTGTGGTAGATCCAATTGTGTTAATGTTAACCACAAACAGCTGTGTGCCAGTAGAAGTGAAAGAGATTAAATATTATGTTCATGCTTTCATAATAATCCTTGAGGTTGATATAGTTCCTTTCATATCTGGAGGACGTCTCAAAGCATTTCAAAGGATTTATTGTATAGTGTAGTCACTGTGTATTTTGAAGGCAAGCAAAGGAAAGAAGGAACTTGTATTTTTATAATGCTTGAGAAGAGGAACATGTCTC